ATGTTTGCAATTACCAAGTGTGATATATGACTATTTTATATCCTTAAACTTTGTCAGCTGAATGTGTAAGCTTCAGTTCCCTATGTGTTTAAAACCTATTTTTACATACACAGTTATGTTTTTATATCTGTGGTAATTCACCAGTCAAAACACGACATGCATGATTTTGGTTCCAATCTTTCTGCTTTAATTCTGCTCTCACCCCTTCCCTCCCCCCAGTAACTAGTCATATTTGACTGATCTTTTCAGATTAAAAACTAAAAAGGAAGAAATATGTCAAATTTATTTGTGAATTCTCCTTGTTGAGCCCTGTCACTTTAGCGACAGCCCTACTCGAACTCCCTCCTCCTTCAAATTTGGATTTGAAAAGTGGATGTAACCCTTTCAAGGCTGGACACATTTTCTTTGGATCGTTCTCCTGTCTTTGCATTCAGAGACTGATCTTCAAAGGGTTTTATTAATTGCAATAAAACTTAATCTACAGTATTTCCAATCACACAAAAAGATGGCTTAAATCCCTTAGTAGCAGAGAATAGCCTTGGAAAGGACTTCCTATGTTCCAAAAAACAGATAAAAACTTCCAAAAATCAGCAAAACAATATTTTTCTTTTACACACCAAAGCTGATTTTCTTTCCCTGAGCATGAAAAGCCTATTTTTTATTAAGGAATACAGTGGGCATCTTACAAGTCTATAAACATATTTGGTTTATATTTTTCAGTCATCCTGACCAAAACAGGTTTTAGTTAAAGCTAAAACTAACAGAGTTTAGTTTAAAAATAAACAGAGTTTAGTTAGAGCCTGTACAAGCTCCTGCCAAAACTGGTGCAGGACATAGTCCTCTCCAAGACCTGCTACCTGACACAAAAGTCATTACTGATTTTACAAACTAAGGAAACAGACATGGAATAGGATACAAAGGATGGTTTGGGGTAGTAACATGTCACTGCCATGTCTGTCATCATGGTACCTTTCAGCCACCTATACTGACATGAATATTTTCCCCTCTTTATAATTTCTAGCGTTGAACCCAATTATGTGTTGGAATGAGTGCATGTTTTTTCCTTGACCAAATCCCTGGTATCCAGGTTGAAATGCTAACCTTTACATACGTAATTAAACTGGTGTTTGTAACAGTACAGTGTAGCTCAAAGCCTTTGAGCAGAGTGAAATTCAAAACACTTCTTTAAAATAATAATAAAAGAGATTGAAAATATAAGTCAGAGCAAACCAGATGCAGACAGGAGTTGAGCAGAAGCATTATGGAGCTTGGCACAGCATTGGCACACTCATTTGCTAGGCATATGCCTTTTTCCATGTTATTCCTGCTTACTGTAGTTGGTAAAGGGTTGCCCTTTTCCACAGAGTATTTTTCCTGGGCTTTGAATTCAGTTTGAATTCAATAACTTTAAATTTAGCAGTGCAGGCAGGAGGAGCCATTTTGTGCTTGGTGCCTGCAGAACGTGTTGCCCTGTGTGCCAGTGGATGAACTTGTAAATGTTTTTTTTTTCAGTTTTCCCCTGTGTTAGTGCTGGGGCAGCAGCACACATGTAAAATGGACATGCATGTTATGCTGTATGTTTTTAAGTCTCTGTATGAATATTAACTAATTTGTCAGTAAGGGCTGTGACAAGGTTGTTGCAAACAGCAGAAGCTTCAGGTGATACAGCTCGAACACCAACTGTGAGTCTGAATGCACAAGGGCCCAGAGAACGGGAAAGAAACAAAATAAGCTGAAAGGCTGGAGCAAGACAGCAAGAGGGCTTCAAAAATACAGATAAATTTAGCACATTAAGAGTAGCAGCAGGTCATGTAGGTTTAATGGTTATACTAAGAGTGGACTGTCAGTCTGGGCTGTCAGCCTTTAGCATGGAGGGATTATAACCTAAGTGCTACCCAAACCTTAATTACAGCAAATCAATGTTTTGACACCCCATTTCAGGACAACAGAAGTCCCATAGTAAGAAGAGTTTTCTACTCTTCCTTTTAATTTGCACCAGGCTGCTGAGATCTCTGGTGCATAACTTCTGAGCACTTTGGTTTCCCATTCTTAGTTTTACAAGAAAATAAGATTTTTCCTTGGGAACTAAGGTTGATCTGGTAACTAAATCCAAGGTCCCAGGTTATGTTCCAAGCTAACATGTAAGCTCTGTTGACAACCCAGGATTTGCCCTGATCTCTCTATTCTGGTTACTCTGGCTGTGATTTTTTTTGGCTGTCTTCTTTGGGAGAAGGTCTGCAACAGTTCAGAGTATCCCAGGCAGTGTGTGTGAGGATAAAATTATTAAAGAAAACATGGTTGGTACAGTAGGACCTCACTTTTAGAATCAGGCTTATCATAGCTGGAGTAAGGAACTGAGGTGTGCTTGATGCCAGTAGGTCACCCAGCCTCACAATGGCTTCACAGACCACGACAGGTTCGTGTTTATTTGAGGATGAGATCTGTTCTTTGCCTAACATGTAACACATCCATTGCAATGAAGGTTTATGCACACCCTGATGTCACAAAAACCAGCTGGCTTAGGGACAACTAAATACAACACCTCAAGGGCCCAGCTACAGGCTGAGACAGAGCAGTCACTTCTGGCACATCTTTTCAGCTTTTCTTGCCCAGAAGAAAAAACAGTGCTGAAAGCCCTTTCCCATGGGGTGAGGAGAGCAATGAGATATGAACATAATCCTCCAAGTGTGTTTGACTGCCTTTCTGGGTCTTGAGGGGAAGCCCTTAGCTAAGGGAACTGGCTAGCTTGTGTCAGTGCCAGATAAAGAAGTTTTTTTTAAGACAGAGTGTTAGAGAAAAGAAAATAAAAAAATCTTTTTTAAAAGGGGAGGGAGGAATATTTACAAGTGCATGAATGGAAGCTTTGTCGACAGTTTTCTGGGAGATAAGGAGCTGGACTGGTCCGTCTCTGCACGGCATGGACACACTCGATGCCTTTGAGTCTCTCAGGAAAGAGCAAAAGGAGCTGCTGACATTTCTGCTTAAAAGGAAGAATCAATGAATCTTTGTTTCCCACTGTTGGCTTGTTTGACCTTATTGTGTTGCGGAATAGAAAAGAAATAAAAGAGAACGGTGAGGGGAGAGCAGATTCGTGCTAATAAAATCCAAGACAAGATCACAGCCCTCTGATCATCACTGGAGATGCCATTATTTGGTTGTTGTCCTATTTGCCACTGTTGCTCATTTCTGATTCTTGCCTTGCTGTAATAAGTCACATTCTTTCCAGCCATCATCCCTGTATTGACAGGCAAATGTCACCCAGGTTTGATTGACGTCCATTGCTCCTGAATACAGAAGTATGATTTAGGAATCAATTCTGTTTGTTTATTTAAACAGCTCTTTGTGTACCTTGTATATCTGTAAGGAGGACAAGTTCTTTAATATTTTCTCTGCAACAATGCCACTAATATTGCACATTCACCTTCCCACTCTGTCACAGAGGTGTCCACCAGACCTTGGAGGAGGAGAAGCCTTTCATGCACAAAAAAACAAACAAAACACAAAAACCAATCAAACAAAAAAAAAAAAAAACACACAAAAAAACCCCACCCAACCAACCAAAAAACAAAAACAAGCAAAAAATCCCCAAACGCCACAAACAAAAAAATCCCCCCAAAACTACAACAAAACAAAATAAAACAAAAAATCCAAAACAAAACTCCATGATTTAACAAAATGCTTTGCTGTCCCTGAGTTAAGCCAAAGACATCTTTTTCTCAGGTTTTAGGCATCTGTCACTTTGCATATACCCCGGACTTTTCTTTGGCTTCTATACAAAAGGGAACACTTTCCCTCAGTGTCAGTTTGCAAGCAGAGCAGTGGTTGGCTTTAACACCGGGAAACACTGTAGCAGGTGATGAGAATGTCAATTTTAATTCACAGGAAAAACTAATTCCTTCTCTGCCTTTATGGTTGCAATTGGGACTAGGAGTAAGAGGGAGATCCGAAATTGCCAGACACGTTAATCTCTTTATTATTGTGGGAGGTATATTTTCAAATAACTTTTACTTGGACAATTGGTAATACATCCCTGCATTTAAAGCGGTATTTCCCAGAAAACACTAACATGGCAAAGTGGCCTCAGGGAATCGTTAAGCAGGAGGTGGATTGACCTTTTAATTCTCGATCGGTGACCTGAAGGGTACCCAGAGGCTGCTAAACACATCTCTTCCTTTCGGTCTGCTTCAGAAAGAGCTGTCATCGAAAGATGCAGCTAGTGAGTGAGGCTCACGATTTCGCTGTTCATCCGTTTGCGGGAGGGGTGGGGGAGGGAGAAAAGAAAAAAAAATATATATTTCCCACACTGCCAGAGTAATGCCAAACTCTCTGTGAGTGGGAAGAGCAGAGCAGATGCTGGAATGAGATGCCAAAGCAGCTCCCCTTTCCCCTGCGCTTTTGGGTGCCTATAAATTGCTCCAGCGCGCTCGTCAGCCTCCTCCTCTCCTGGCAGGTGGCACCCGGGCAGGATCCCGCTCTCCCTTCGGCTCCGGCTCCGGCTCCGGCGCGGCGGCGGGGGCACCGGGCGGCGGGCACCGGGGCGGCCGGGAGGCGCGTCCCCGCTGAGGACTGTCGTCTCTGCGAAAAGAGAGAGAGAGGGAGGGAGAGAGAGAGCGAGGAGGCGAGCGGGGCGATCGCGAGAGGAAAGGCAAGTTCCAGGGAAAGTTGACTCGGACTGGCACAGCCTGCAAAAAAAAAAAAGTCGATCGCCAGCGGGAGCATAAAAGTGCGGGCGGCCGGGGCGCGGCGGCAGCTCTCCCTCTCCCTCTCCCGCTCCGCTCCGCTCCCTCTCCCGCCCGGCGGCTGCAGCGGCCGCAGCGGAGCGCCGCGACCCGCGGGAGCCCCCGCAACACCGGCGGCCCTTGGTAGGGCGGCCGAGCCCCAGGGGAGCCGAGCTCGAGCGGGCTCGGCGTTTTTTCGGCTCTGAGGAGGAACCCCGCCAACCATCAAGATTTTGTCCAAAAGCAGACAAGAGGATCGCCCTGCGCTGAGCCGGCTGGTGGGCAGCAGGCGGCGGCTGATCGCGGCCGGCGCGCTGGGGGTGGTGATGGTGCTGCTGCTGGTCATCCTCATCCCGGTGCTGGTCAGTTCGGCCGGCACCTCGGCGCACTACGAGATGCTGGGCACCTGCCGCATGGTCTGCGACCCCTACGGCGGCACCAAGGCGCCCAGCACGGCGGCCACGCCCGACCGCGGGCTCATGCAGTCCCTGCCCACCTTCATCCAGGGGCCCAAGGGGGAGGCCGGCCGGCCGGGCAAAGCGGGGCCCCGCGGCCCGCCGGGGGAGCCGGGGCCGCCCGGCCCGGTGGGGCCGCCGGGTGAGAAGGGTGAGCCGGGGCGGCAGGGCCTGCCGGGCCCCCCCGGGGCGCCGGGGCTGAACGCGGCGGGGGCCATCAGCGCTGCCACCTACAGCACCGTCCCCAAAATCGCTTTCTACGCCGGCCTCAAGCGGCAGCACGAGGGCTACGAGGTGCTCAAGTTCGACGACGTGGTCACCAACCTAGGCAACCATTACGACCCCACCACCGGCAAGTTCACCTGCTCCATCCCCGGCATCTACTTCTTCACCTACCATGTGCTCATGCGGGGCGGCGACGGCACCAGCATGTGGGCCGACCTCTGCAAGAACAACCAGGTGGGCGCCGCGCCGGGGGCAGCCGGGGACAGAGGGCAGCGGCGCCCGGGCGGAGGGGGGTTCCCCGTGGGAGCGGGCGCTGTGCGGGCAGCGGGCGGAGCGGCGCGGGAAGGGCGGGAAGCGGGCGAGGAGGGGGAGCCGGGAGACCGCCGGAGGCGGCGCGGGTGCGTGCAGGGGAGCGGACCCCGAGCCCGGGAGGCCCGAAGCGGCAGAGGGGGACCGGCGGCCGCCTTTCGGCAGCTGGCGGGGAACCTGCGGGGAGCATCGCTCCGCTCCGCCTCGGGTGCCCGAAGGCTGCCGTGGGACCGGGTGTTCCGCGCAGAGCCGAGGCCGCCGGGGCTGCTGAGTGAACGCGGACTCGACGCGCTCTCCTCTCCGAGAGCCGTGCCGCAGGCCCCGCTCCCAGCCCGAGCAGAGCAGCTCCCGGCCCGCCCTGGCCACCGCCCCGGCCGAGGAGCGCTGCCCGCAGCTCTGCCGGGACGGGAGCGGGGGGCGGGCGTACAAGCAGCGCTGCCCACGCAGGAGCAAGAGGAGCCCGGCGCTCCCTCGGGGAGGGGAAAGTCCCCGGCATGAAAAGGGAGCCAGGGGCGGTGGGTGAGCTCAGGATAGGGTGGTGCTGTGTGGGGAAAGGGTGAGGCGAGTGGGAGGAACGCAGCCACGGCACGGGACGGGGCTCCCACGCAGCGGAGCGCCGGGTTTGACACGCTCAGACCCCGGAGGGGAGGGAGGCTTCTTCTCGCTGTCAGGAGAGCTGGTGATAGAGCGAGCTCGGCGGCCGCAGACCTGAGCCCTTGGCGGGCCGGCGCCGCGGCACGGGCCGTGCCGGGAGGCACACCGGCTGTCCGGAGAGCCCGGGCAGGACCCGAGTCTGTCGGCGTTCCGTGGGCAGGATGGAAACATCGGAAATAATTAAAGGCCTCGCTATGCTGTCGTCTGAAATTCAGAGGAATAATCCCTTTTAATTAGGGTAAACACAGTCACTGCTCTCGCAGGGGTTGTGCCTGTTACATTGCCCCGGGGAGCCATCCTTCGCAATTTTGCGCCTCTTCTGTGCTTAATTAACAGACGCGGTTAGGCTGGCACTAATTCCTACGGCGTTTAGAGGCACCGCCGTCCCTCCAGGCTTTGGGTGCCCAGGGACAGTGCGAGGTGCCCAATCGTTGCCGTGTCCCCGGAGCTCCGCTGTGCTCCCTCCGGTACCGCGGCCCCCGTGCGGCGGGAGGGCGAGGGACCCGCCGCGCACCGCCGGCTCAACAGGTCCCTGAGCGCCCGAGCCGTCCCGGCGCGCAGGGGCTGCAGGGCGGGCTGGCCGCTCGGGGAGCCCGGAGCCGGCGCTGCCGCTCTCCCTGGGCTGCTCGCCCTCCGGCGGGGTAGGCCGGGGGATGGATCGGCTCCCCGCAGTGTCCCTAGGACCGAACACCGGACCCCGTGTCCCTGCCGTGCCTGGCGGCCGCGGAAAGACTCGTTCGGTTGAGCGTCTCCTCCTCCCCCGCCGAGCACGGCCGGCTGGCGGCCCTTTGTGCTCAGCGCACACGGGAGCGGCGGCGGCCAGTAAATTAATCTGATATGCCACTTAACCTTTTTTTTATGGCTCCTCAGAAGGACTGTGAAAACAGAATAATGAGGACATCGGTGGCAATTAATTAAATTAGAAAATGTCTACCATAAATACTGTCTCAGCAGATAAACCAGGACTAGTAAAACAAAGTACATCCTAATATATTCACTTTGATATCCTCCTACAAAAGCAATATTGTTCACTGCAGGAACATAATTTTACTTACAATTAAAGAATTTATCTATTTTTACCCCTATTTATAATGTAGAGTGTTTATTTTCCCAAACCCTGAAAAATAAATATGTAGCGGTAGTTTTAAAGAAGTGTCCAATTACAAATATTCAATTGAACCTGAGGTCTAACTATTTCCAAATATAGGTACTTCCAGTTCCAGGCGTGAGACAAATTAAACTCATATTCAAAGTTATTCAAAGAAGAAAGAAAAAAAAACACCCAAAGAGGGTGTAAATTTGTGTATAATATACAAGATACTTAGGTAAATGCCTGCATATAAATGGTTTTAAATCGACCCACAGTTTTAATGCCTCAGTGATTATGATTTATACTTGAAATGCTAAATTCTGATGTGACAAGCTTTTATGTATATTTGTAAGGAAGCTCAGAAATTTTGGAAGTAAGTAGTTAAATGGAGTGACAAAGGCAACATTATAAATCCAGTGTTCTCTAACGATGAAAAAACCCAAAACATTAAAGATTGTATGACTTACAGAAAAAAAACCAAAACCATTCCTAGGCAATATGTACGTGGAACCTCAAGGTACCCAGTGTTACCACGTTGTCTGCTTTAATGGTTATCAAGCTTGAAGAGGGAAGTGCTGAGGTCACACAGCTTAGGTATGTGTGTGCAGGCCAAGAAAGCAGCTTCATGAAAGAACTTATATGGAACTTGTAAAATATATTTCTCATAATGCTTTAATTTGGTGATACACTTACCCTCTTGCAGCAGTACACTCACTGAGAATTCATTTGAGACTGTTCTCCTAGGCTTCATAAAGAAATTGCTCTGGCTAGCCAAGCAAGAAGGTAAACCCACTAAGAATAGCATCTAGGAGCTTTGCTGCTACACACAGGGCAGTAAGATTTGCATTTTGGTTTCTAGACTTTCAATACCCAGAATATTTTTTTCCCAGACAGTATGTATTATGTAGACTCTTAAAAATGAATTGGCTGTTGTAGCCAGTGTCCACATGCTGACTCCCTTAGGATAGTCACCGATGTAATTTGAATTCTCCCTTACCATCCACAAGATTTTATACAAATCCACAAAGTAGCATTTCATTAGGAAGTAAATGGGAATTTGAAAATTCCTTTAAACCATTTTTCTCACCATTATGCAAGATACTAGATCTCTGTGAAAGTTTTTCTACCTTGTCTGTAGCCTTTTCACTCCTCCCCATTTGCCCTTTCCATTTCCACTGCCAGCAATCATCTCAGGCCGTTATTTCTCTGGAAGGTCTTTCAAGGTTTAATGGCCCAGAGCCTTCAACTCCGCCCTGCCAGACACTATTCCAAAGGAAACATCCAGTACTTAGAATAATTGTTGCTTAAAAAACTAGCAAAATAGATCACCTCTGTAAACAATACCAGGCAAGTCAGGATCAAGAAGTCCTGAAATAGTTGGGGTTTTTCATCATGCCATGTATCAGTTTAAATTTGCAGCCTGTCACAGCTCTGCAAGCCTTTGCAGCCTTTCTCACTGTTCTTAGAGGATGCATAAAGAATTTCCACCTACTGTGATTTTTAAGCTGCATAATGCCATAAGATCCTGCATGGTAAAAGAACCCCCTCCTTTTTAACATTTCAATATTAATGTGAAATCATATCACATGAAAATTTAATTTAGAAATTTATCATGTAAACTTAGAAAGGAATCCATGGAAAATTGTGACTTATAGCCTATTTTTTCAGTTCAGAGCAGAAAAAATCCCACATATAGTACGCCAAGTCATGCATTATTACTTAGTTCAGATTTGCAATGCCACTAAATCTTTTCCTGCTCTGTAACTACACTAGAACAAAGACAAGCAACAAGAAGATGACATGTTACACTGAAATAAATCACATACAACCATGTTTAAATATTTTACCAAACAGAGTCAAATTATATATAAATGATTTGGAGACTTGCAATGGCACAGGCTGTTTATTGATGGAAACCAACATATATCTTGAAATTACAGATTACTTCCAGTTTTCATGAAATGTCAAATTTGATCAGTAGTAGAACACCAAGGGAGAAATGGGGGAAAAAGTATGTTTAAGGGAAAGTTGCAAATGAAAAGCCTTCAATGACTTGTAAATTCCAAAAACCTCTTATAGCAAATAGTGACTTGCCTGTGATTTTTCAAAAGTGCATCTCTTCAAAACAGTGAAATTAAATGTTTGCTTACTGAAATGTGGTAATGGCAGTTTTTCCAAACCCAGACTGCTTGTGTGCATGTGTGTGGAGGGCGGTGTACTTCTTGTAGTCTTCTTTGCAGCATGAGCCTACTACTTAGTATGACAATAAACTGCCTCTGAAAAAAGTCCATCTTGGGAATTCCCTGTGGGCCTTGTGGGCCTCTCTGTGGATCTTCACCATTGTCAATCACTTGTCCCACTGATACAAAAGTCACACCAATGTAAATCTGGCACATGATCAAATCCAGTTTTTCCAACTCCAGCTATCCTCACAAATATTTTTAAAAAGGTTCCAGACATCTACAGAAGATCAGGCAGTTGTGTATTCATCAGATGACTGAGAAAGGAGAATATTACTGCTTTAGTTTCAGAAGTACAGTAGGAGAAAATAAGCAATAGCCATAGGAATAAGCTACAGTATACATAGCCAGATGTTTAAAGTAGTAACTCATGCATGTTAAATAAAACTTTGAGGATATGCTTTAATTTCACCAGGCAGGAAAAATTGCCTGAGTTTTCTTAACCAGTTATTCTGTATTTTATGTAGGTCCGAGCTAGTGCAATCGCTCAGGATGCTGATCAGAACTACGACTATGCCAGTAACAGCGTGGTTCTTCACTTGGAGCCAGGAGATGAAGTTTACATTAAATTAGATGGAGGAAAAGCACATGGAGGAAACAACAACAAATACAGCACATTTTCTGGATTTATTATTTATGCTGACTGATAATGAGTAAAAAGACCCACCAAACCAGTCGAGAAATGAAGCTTGCTCTTCTAAACGATGGATTTGCGTGGCAAAAGTCAATGAAACAAGCACCCCAGCAGAGAGTGACCACCGAACACCTCAGCAGCGGGGGGAAAAATCGAATGCTACCTGATTCACATCTGTACAACACAGAGAAACCTTATGTTTAAAAACCACAAACCAAGATAACAGATGTGCGATCCACTTCCGCCAAAGCAAATACTTCCTCATTGTTAGTGTCCATGTGAATGAAGTTCTACATAGATCAAATTTTTATAGGGAAGAAAAGCCCACCTAAGGACGCTGAGTTATTTCTTCAGTGTATATGATACTTTAATGTGTTATGATCTTGCTGCTTTATCCATACTTCAGCTTTGGTTCTTGTGACTTACCTGCTAACAATGATGCTTGGAGTCCACTCATAGTGTGGTGAGGAATGATTTTACAATAAAAGGAAGAGGTAATCAAAATATACTTTCTCTCTGCAAAGAAATTGTTTGCCTTGTACTTTTCTTACCCTTCCACTTAAAACTAGAAAGTAAACAGCTTCAAGCCTTAACTCAATGTTCCTGCTTTGTAGGTTTACATTAGACTTTTAACATAAAATCAATCCAGTGGAGCTATTTAAATTTTGTCTTTCCCTTAGCTGTCCTCTAGAATAAAAAGAAAGATAGAAGAAACACTATTTTCCCTGAAAAAATTAACAGTTGACAAACTATTCTATTGAACCATATCCCTGATTCCACCAAAGCAAATGGCAAAACTCTCATTGCTATTAGTGGAAAAGGGATTTGGCTTTTAATTTGTATACATGTAAATATATATTTAGACAATTATTACAGGCCCATTCTTGATGGTTAGTTGTGTAAATATTTAGAAAGCCTGGCATCCACACCATCAGACTAAGGCAGAGTGTTTTCTTTGCAGCAATTAGTCTTCATTAGTCTTAGCACTTAGTCTGTACCTGGGTTCTATTTTTAATAAAGTAGTTATGGATTAATGTACTGCAGATGTTCCACTAGGATTTCACAGGAATATAATGGGTCAAAACCTTTATTGTTTTAGGAGTCTTGTCTCACTGAAGTTAGTGGAACCTTTCCAACAAAGGAAGAGTGGGAGATCTGACACATGAGAAAATGCTGTCAGACCTTTTCCATGGAAGCTAGTACCAGTTTGTGGTAAGGCCTGCCTACGAGATGGACACAGAGAAGCATATTACCAAAAAATGATAACACATATGCAAAGAAAAAAGCAGATATTTACATGCAAAAAAAAAGTGTGTATTAAAACCTATTTTTCTCATTCATATAGATATAGATATAGATATATAAAGTCTCAAAGAAGCTTAATCCATATAGAGGATTAATGGCTTGGAGAATTAAACTAAACACAGATACATAATTATAAAAATGCTTTAAAATCAATCATAGCAGTAATGTCCACATAATTTTTTTATTCAGAAAATAGGTTTATTATTTGTTTTTGTTTTGGGAGGCAATTTCTCTAAGGCTAAAACTTGCAGGTTCCATTCTAAACCCAAATTTCAGCAAGATTATTAAATTTCTTTATCACACTTCGTTACGTTATTTATTTTTAACTTTTTGGCAAAATCAAGGTAACATTTCTATAAATCATTAAAGAGTAATAGAGGCTATCCCTAGCATTGCTATTTCATACACTCTGCCACAAGCAACCTTGTCTAATGTAATAAGGGTACAAACTTAGATTTATCTGCACTAAAATTTACAAAGTGTCTGAAGTGTCTGCCACTCTGACAAAAAAGCTCACCAGTGCTGGCTACTCAGTAAAAGTCTATAGAGATTTTATGCATCTCCTTAAAAATCTGGTTTGAATGAGTGAACCTTAAACAGAACGTGTTACTCCTTCTGTTTTGAGTCGTTGAATTCAAAACAAATGCCGAGTGAGCCCAGGCTGACTGAGAGGATCGCCAGGCAATCTCATCCAGGGTTTACAAGGGGACATCATGCTGCCAGCTGCTTGTGTATTATCTCACCAGATGGTTAATGCTTCTACCTTATGAGAAAGTGCCAGCCTATATCTGTACATTGTAGTGGTTACTCCTGTTTAATTTCTACGAGGCAATTATTTTAATAACAGATGTGTACCTGACTTGTCTGTTTGCTCCACTGTTGCTGTTGCTGGCCAGTGCACTCCCACAGCAGTGTAGCTAGAGATTCCCTACCTAGTGTCCAACAGTCCTGCACCTAGAGTTAGAGATCATTCACAATCAGCAGTGTGCATTTACTATGGTGTTTATTGATAAAGCTCAATACTACAAGACATACATGGTCAAATCTGAAGAAGCTTCTGAAATCAGGCTATTGGATAAGACCATTTTTGGATAAATCACCTGCCCTGGTTAAAGTTAGACAAGAGCAAAGAACACACTTCATGTGAAAACCACATATAAGGCAAACATTTCTTCCTTTTTCATCATATCTTGATATACTGATTTGTAAAGACTTATATCACAACCTTTGTTATAACTATTACAACTCATTAAAACTGTATTATGTAATATATTTTGAGTGCTGGTGTTGCATCCTTACAAAAAGAAGCTGGTATGTGTCAAGTTTTATATGATTGCTGTGAGACTCCAAGTTCATGATAAAAAAACTAAAGCAATTAGAAAAAGACATCTGTAATAATACTGCACATAGTTTAAGAGGTGATCAAAATGCTTTATTCAAAAATATATTTTTCCATGTATTTTTTACATTTTCAGTTACAACTAAGTAAATTGTTAAACTAGAAAGAAACATTATCTTTTTAGATTTATTTGAGATTCCTCTTGCCTTCTCTTGTCTATAGAAGCGAATTAAAAGTTTCAGACCTTTAAGCATTACTTAAAGAATACAAGGGTAATGAGAAGATTGACAGTAATACAGAGATTAAATACAGAGTAATACAGAGTAATACAGAGATTAAAATCAGCCCCTGGAGACAGGAAATGTAACTGAAAACCATAATTTCCTTCCAAGTCTGGGTGACACATCTTCAGTAGTAGTCTGGAGGTAACATTCAGTAACAGTATTAAATTATGATTTTGAAACAATTATTTTAGAATTTCAGTTGAAAAGATTCTGTAAGTAGGCTCATATTCAGTAAATCATTCATAAGAAAACTTTCAGAAGGGAGAAAATGTAGAGATAGTACACAATTTTGATGTTCTAATTAAAAAGAAAAGTTACAATCAGTTTGTTTGCATCTACTTAATAATTTTCAGGTTTTTGGATTTTTTTAACAACTGTTCTACTGAAATCTAAATTTTATCAAGCTTCCTTATAAATCAGGCATATTTATTCATTATTCCTACTTAAAAGTCAACCACCGCTTTGGATTTGCTAGGAGTATTTTATCAATTTTATCTTGGGATATGCCTCTAATTAGCATTTTAGGAACGATATTTTTAAAAATATGCGAATATCCGTGACCTCCATATTTCATCAACCTGTTCTTGGTGTGCACATCATGAGCCATCAGAATTCTGTCTTCATAGCCTTCATCAATCAGCATACGAATCCTGCAAAAGTTAGAAGTGTCCCTGTCAGTGAAAGTTCTTACTGGAACAGCACAGAACCCACCAGGATTTATATTTCTTACATCACTGTACTGCTGGACTGTATTATAACAGAAAATACTTAGGTGCTCAGAGGATACACTCCTTACATTTACCTGAAAATAAAATGCATTTTTTATTGCATGAAAAATACCCCACCTCTGAAAACACACATCAAAATGGAGAAGTAAAACTATTTCCTTTTGGCACATGACTCTGCATTTCCAGATCCATTAGGTCCACAGAGCAATTCAAGAACTTCAGCATCACCATGCATGGGACAGAGGTTTTATATAAATGAGTAAATAATAATTTCCTACATAAATTCTTTCTCAGCAGGTTACTTCTTGCTGGTGCCACAAAAGCTGGTCCCATTACATTTGCTAATGTCCAGACTCTGTGTGTGACAGGTCTTTAAAGGAGCCTGGTTCAATTACACAAATACTTTCATATCTTTGGTTGAATCCCATTTAGCAAAGCAGGTAAATAAGAACTTGAAGTTGCCAGTATCATACTCCATACAGACAGTTATCATCAAAACACATTTCAAAGATGTTCATTAAAGAAGATAAATAAGACTGGCATAGCACAGCACTAGGAAATAAGAGGCATAACTGACAGGAAATAAAAGGCATTAATACGGCAGTGCAGCTAAACAGCCGTGGCAAAATGACAAGTCAGCTTGGAAAAAGAGGTAATCCTCCTGGTCACACTCTTGTAGTAGGACTGCTACAAGTCCTTCTGTTCCATGTTTCATTCAGGTAGCCTTACTCCCTTGATCAGCTCATTTTTTTTATGTGGATGTCTACACTCCTGTATTGCATGACTGTTAAGTTTCTCGGTAAGCTTCCATTTAGTTTGGCACAGGACTGCAGCACTGACAGACCATCCCTGGAATGTGCTCATTCCTCATGAAGGCCTCCAATTCCATCACTTGCCAGCACTGTGAAATTCTAATCCTTACCTTCCTGACAATGCTTTGATCAGCAAGAAAATAACCAGCCTTACAAGTATCCACATTGTATCTGAAAGGCCTTACTGACAGTTTTTATTACAAGTAGTTACACGGAGATACATGTAGCAGGATCTAACCAGCATGGGCAGAAGAAGGAAGGCAAAACCAATAGAATCTGGTAAAATGTAATTGTTTTTCAAAAACCCACCATACACTGTACAATACAGTGCACAACACTACAAAAAAACATAGTCTTACAACATCACAGGAATCTCCTCCAGCCTGAAATACAGAAAAACCACAAGCCAACCAGAAAGTAAGAGCAATGGCACTGGTGGGACTAAGTTTTTACTGACCAAACATGTTATTAGAATCCTTTAATTTTGGACCAATTTCACAGGTTGGGGAGGCATACGTTCCTTTCCATTCTCTATTGCTCTTTTCTGCTCATTCCTCTATATTTAGTTAGTACTTGCTTCTGACTCCAAACTGCCCCAGAACAAAAGCCAGTGTTTTGCCTGCACTGGCAGCAGACTGCAGCCAAATTGCTGAAGTACACAGACAACTAAACTGTGTCAAGTAGGTACATTATGACTACAGAAGTTTGTGTTTTGAACAGAAAAGATGTGAACAAGTATTTTCCATTTTCATTTAGAGGTCAGTTTTATTTCTTCCTCTGTGGTGCTGTCTGACAAAACAAAACCCTAAGGAGATTGCCCCAGACATCCCTAGTCCACTGTGGGTACATCCATATAACCCAAGTACACATACTCACACTGTGCAACGAGAAGAAAACCTTTCATCTTTTCTTCCTATGAACAGCCTGCTGCAAGAAATACTCAGACACTAAAGAGTTTCAGGAGAGACAACGGTGGCTGAGCAAGTATCATGGATGGAATGAAAACTCTGACACGGTTGAACATGCACTTGTTAACCAAGGCCTAGTCCAGTCCTCTCTATATATTCCCTAGTGCTTTTGTAGATACTGACTTTCCATGGCACAGGAGACAGCAGGAGGCACAGCAGAGAAAGCAACTTTGTTCATTCTAAATGCAAAAACTGTGTATTCCTTGCAACAGTTTAAAATACCGAGTGCAAGACTGAGAGCACTGTGTAAAAGAAAAACAATTTCTAGTGTGAAAAGCAGCAGCAAACGTTTGGGAGGGTGGAAGAATAACCACAGCACCTTCTTAGAACAGTTTGAAAATAGCTTTGTTTCAAGATTAATCTGACAATGAGGGGGAGGGAAGCTATGTCTGAGATGTAAGGGAAAGGTAGAAGTTACTTCATTAGTGATCAGCAATCACAGAATCTTTCTCATCGAGGAGAGTGAAAGACCTGTTTGTGACTCTGGAAGGTAAAAAGACACAGGCCGGATGGCAACCCACCCCTCAGACACCTGCCACTTCACTGCTCACAAATAGTGTGGACAAACAGCACGGCAGCATCACACCTCCAGATGGAGTGGAAGGAGTGAGGTGTCCATTCCCAGCTGATCCTACCTTCTCTCAGGAAGTTTCTGTACAGAATGTATTTCCTTGGCAAAACTTTGTGTTAGCACAGCACAACAGATTTGCTGTGCAGCTGAGCTGAGACTGCAGGTACTGATGAGAAGCAGGGAAGAGGTATCCTGCCAGTGGGGCCAATATTTTCACATTGTGAGTGTGAGGAGAATGGGAGCTCTGAGGAAACAGGAATCACATCCTTCAAAACAGAGAAAGGGCAAAAG